CTAGTGTGTTACATTGGCCTTCATATTTGTGATCTTTCTGTTAGTACAATGAGGCTATTTAGAGATGTTAAGTAATTTTTATTTGTGCCTATGTGTGATTATGATTCTTGCCTTTCATTCCTTGCCATGAGCAAACTGAGTGCTTTCTAAAAATATTTCTATTGAAATATTCTTGGATCCCAAAGGGCTTAAATTGTGAGCAAACAACAGGGACAGACAATTGTCTTACATCAAGTGTAGCTGGTTTGGAATGTTTCTCTTTCTCTTATATTTTTGATCAGAAAGGACCATTCTTTTCAGACTCTTCTGTTATTTTTTTTCTAACATCGACATTCCAGTATCCATAAGAGTGTCTCTAGTTACTGTGTTCTAGATTTTTGTTTTGAAATAATTAACTAAAATATTTTTTTCTGCTGAATTATCTTTTTCCTCAGTCTGACTCTTTTCTTTATTATCTTTAGAGAAAGATGACACAAAATAAGAATGACTCTTGATTGTGTATGTCAAGAGAGTTATATACTCCCTCATTAGGAAAAGGGCTAATGTGTATTATTGTTCTCAATGGAACTGTGGTTTCTGATGAAGGTAAGCAGGTGCAGGTTGATAACCCGCTAAAGTATTCATACTATTGCACATCAAACTAGGCTTTGTGATACACAGGACTGACACATTTACCAAATTTAATGTTTGTATTTGAGTTGGGCAATGGATAGACAGTGTTACAGTAAAAAGCCTGCATTGCTAGGTGCAGTGAGAGGAAAGAAAGCTCAGGCAAAGATAAACTGTAAAACAGTGTTGATTCAGGTGGGAGTGTTGCAAACAGAAGAAAGTCGTTTGCTGGCCTGTGCACTTGGCACGTTTTAGCAATGAATAGTGATTCAATTTATTCACCAACAGGTCAAGATTTGTTGAAGAATTTTTAACAGAAGAGTGTCATGATGACATTAACAATCACTTTGACCTTCCTGTGGAGAATTACTAGAAGCAGAGCAATACTTTAGACAAAAAGATCAGGCCTGGAGAGATGGCTCAGCGGTCAAGAACACTGACCGCTCTTGCAGAGGACCCGGGTTCAATTCCCAGCATCCACATGGTGGCTACAAACCATCCTTAACTCCAGTTGCAGGGGAATCGACGCCCTCTTCTGACCTCCGCAGCATTGCATGACACGGGTGCACTAATACATGCAGGCAATACACTCATACACATAAAAATAATAAAATATTTTTTAAAACAAAGATCAGTTAAGATAGGACTATAATTACTGGAAAAGAAGTGGTGAAGCCTTTAATCAAAGTATTGATGGTTATAGCTAAATCACAATGTTACTTTTTTCCCTTTTTCTTTGAGACAGCCTGTTTAGGTAGCCCAGGCTAGGCTCTAGCATCTTCATCCTAAACTACAATTTTAAAATGTGCTATTTGCTTTAAAACTCAACATATTTTAAAGTTTGCTTTAGTAGTAAAATCATGAGACTTAAACATAGGAAATAAGTTTCAGAGACTTTGAAGAAGTGTCAAGTGGTGATTTGAGCCTTATTAATTGTTTGCACCAAGCTTACCTGCTGAATTACTGTTAGATTTTTCAAGCATTTTTGTGTATTTGTGTGTGTGTGTGTGTGTGTGTGTATGTCTGTGTGTGTATACACACTGTGCAAATGCAGGTAATTACAGATTCTTGCAGACTTTCTGCTTTAGTTCCATGGGCCCAAAGCTTCATTTTCAGCAGAGCTTTTGTACTAGAAAAGCTTTTACTAGTTTTATTTACAGTCTTATCAAGGCAATATGTTTATAGAAAATTCTGTCAACACTTAAGTTTGTCCAGCCTTTTGATAGTGAGACATGGGCTTTGTCATGTATAGCAGCGCTTGTGCTGGAGAACTTCACATTTAAAATTTCACAAAAATCTTAAGTAAAATTATATACATATATTTAAATAATTCATTAAAAAAAAAAACCATAGTGTTTTAAGTAACTTTTCAATTTCGTGTTGGGCCCTATCCTTGGCCACAAGACATCCATGGGCTGTGTGTTCGATAGGCCTGTTTGAAATGAAGTTCAGGAATTTTAAGAAATAGGGCATTAAATTAAGGGTTGCTATATGCTTAAGTTTTAGGTAGGCCATTGAAGATATAGTTACGATTCATTTTTACAATAGCAAGGCCGGTTTTACCTTAGCTCTACCCATGGTCCTTACGGTGTGATGTTTTTTGCCAGTTAGTTTTCTTTGGACTGAACTTAGACTATTATCAGTTAATGTATAATTTTTTAAAAAAGAAAGAATTGGCCTTGGTGGTACATGCCTTTAATCCCAGCATTTGGGAGGCAGAGGCAGGCAGATCTCTGTGAGATTGAGGCCAGCCTGGTCTGTAGAGTCAGTTCCTAGACAACTGGGGCTACAGGGAGACCCAGTCTCAGAAAAACAAAACAAAAAATAAATAAAAAAAAGAACCCACTTACCTTTAAAATTTTAGTCATTGATAATAGCCTTATTGTATAATACATATTGTATATATACAATTCTGTATTCAATATTTTTAGTGTAGTTCATTGTTTTCATATTTTTGTTACAACTCATACATATATCTAATGTATTTTGATTATAATCATCCCCCCAATCGCCTTCTCTTATCCCCCTCCCTCTCCCACTTATCCCTGTTCTCGTCTACTTTCATGTCTCTTTTGGGGGACCTTGAGTTTAATTAGGGTTGCTTACATGAATATTCTTTTCATTTTTGTTCCTTGACTTTTCCTATATGTTTCCATGTTTTTAGCACACAGCTGACATATTTATCTTTTTTACATGCTTCTTTTTCCTTTTGATACTTAAAATGTGTAGGGGCCTGGTCTTCATGAAATTTTAACCCAATGTATTTTCCAGATGTCGAAGGTCTTTTTCATAAGCCCATCTTTTTTTTTCTTCTTTAATTTATTATTTTTATTTTATGTGTATGAGTGTTATGCCTGCATGTAAGTGAGTACACCTGTGTTGTGCAATGCCCGCAGAGGACAGAAGATGCTGTCAGATCCCCTGGAATTGGAGTTATGGACAGTTGTTAGCTGCCATGTGGGTGCTGGGATTTGAACCTGGGTCTTCTGCAAGAACAGTCGGTGTTCTTAACCACTGAGCCATCTCTCCAACCCCCTCCCATCTTTTTTAAAAATAATATTTTATGGGGCTGGAGAGATGGCTCAGCAGTTAAGAACACTGGTTGTTCTTGCAGAAGACCTGGGTTTGAATCCCAGCACCCACATGGCAGCTAACAACGGTCTGTCAGGGGTTCTGACAGCCTCTTGTGTGTGTATATGTATATTGCCTGCCTGTAGGTAAATGCACCCGTGTTGTGCAGTGCCTGCAGAGTTCAGAAGAGGGTGTCGGATCCCCTGGAACTGGTGTTCCAGATGATTGTTAGTCACCATGTGGGTGCTGAGACTTGAACCCAGTCCTATGCAAGAGCAGCCAGTGCTCTTAACCTCTGAGCCATTCTCCAGCCCCATGCTTCCATCTTTGGACCATCACCATTGGCTTCTTGGATACTCTCTAGAATAGCACTGGATTTTATGGATAGAAAAATCTAGGTAGTATGAATTAGATGTTCTTTTTCCATCTCATCTACTTTGGAGTTGACCTTTATCCAATCTGAGTTACTGTGCTTCCTCCTCTCAGTTGCTACACACAGTGACCTCTCTTCTGTGGTCATCCTGCTTATGCTTGTCCCCTGCCCCAGGGCTATCTTCCAGTCTTCCCAGGCAGGACATAGCTCACATTCTTACCTGGTTGAGCTAGTTCTTCCTAGAATGGCAACTACTAACCTTTGGTCTCGTTCTTTCTGTTACAGGGTTACCTCAGCCTGCCACAAGTTGTATGTGCCAATGTTACATTAAAAAATACACAAAGCATGGGCCCCTTAAAGTGCCGTATTCTTGTATTCCCTGCTTTTAAACCTCCTCACGTGGTACTTCACTGATCAGGCAGAAGCCATTTTTCCTCTGTGTTCCAGGGCGCTTTGTTCACTTAGCATTTATAACATTTAACAAATTGCATTGTTAAAGATTGTAAATCCATCTTCCAAAATAGACTGAATTTTGTGAAGACCCTGACCTGCTTGATTTGATGTTCTAAAAGCTAAGCACAGTCCTTGGTGTGTAGTAGGCAGTCACTATGATCTTCGGGGGAGCTATTCAGTTTGTCAAGGATTAGGGAAATATGAAAAAAAATAATCATAAATACAGAGATGTACTTTGATTTAAGATGTGTTTCTACCTGGTAGGCGATGCAGTTTTGGGTGCCATCTATTGGAGCATCTGTGAAGGTTTTTCAGATAAGACAATTAAAAGTGACTGTTCTAACTGGGTGTGGTGGTGCAGGCACTCGGAAGGCAGAGGCAGGTGGATCTCTCTGTGATATAAGGTCAGTTGGTCTACATAGTGAATTCTAGGCTAGCTGGGACTACAAGGAAACCCTGTCTCAAACAGTAACAACAACAACAAGTGACTGTCCTGAAATTTGAATTATTCGGTGCCATCTGGGATACATTGGGGTCTGGATGAGCTTTCATCTATTTTTTAGTACTCCCAGAATTCACTAGATGAACCTCTGTGTATTTAATGATTTGCTAAATAGAAATAACACTTAGGTGTTAAAAAAAAGTCAGGTTGTGGAGAACTTTGATATAAATAAAAGTTTAGAGTGCTAGCACTTTCCAAGGTTAGAGTAGCTGTCTGCTGGCTCTTCTTTGTTTGGCTGTGACATTGAAGTGATCTGATTATTACTATGAGGATATAGGAAGTATGTGAACTCACAGAAGTTTCTGAAGCCTGAATGAGCATGATTAAATGTTTCTCAAGTTCAGATTCAAATCAGCATATTCTTAATATAGTATTTTATATAGGAATCTCTCAGCACTGCCGATTAATGTCCTTTTGATTCTTGTTTTAAATAGAGAAACTATATGAGTTGAGTATTTAATTTCAAAAGACACTGTGGTTTTTATTTTTCAGTGTTGAAAATGAGCCCAGGAGCACAAGTCAGAAAAAGGAAAATGCAGTTTCTTCAGAAGCAGTAAAGGTACAGTTTGAAATTAGTATTATTTTTAATTACATGCTGTAACATCAAGCAAATGTTTTAAATTTCTACACATTCTTCTTGTAGATTCATGTTTTGAGAAGATCACCTTTGCTTTTGAGGGCATCTAGCCCAGCCCCGTGCTTGTATCATGTAGTAGGGGTGTGGGAGAACCTGGCCAAGGTTTGCTGTAGGTCAACTCTGTGACTGACTTGAGCTGAGGCATTTCGCCTTTTGTGCCTTAGGTTTTTAATCTGCAAATATAATTGTATGAATTCCATGGTCTCATTTCCAACAGGAATTTTTAAGATTTAGGTTACATTTTTTTGAAATGTGAGACAACTAATAGTCCTTGGGCGGCAGGGGTGGGGTGGGGATTAATGATGTGTTCCTACGTGTCACTGGTGAGTGAAGGATCTGTTGGGCAAGTTCTCTCATCTAGAAGCCTGCTAGGCATGAGATACAGATACTTACCTATACAGTTATTGAGGAGTAGTTGAAATCCTTGAAAATTACTAGACTTTTAAAGTTCTTGTGATTTTCTAGGAAATTGGGTATGCGTGTTGTTTGGCCAGGTATGTGGCCATAGTTGTGGCCTTTGGTCACAGTTGCTTTCTTTATACATGATTTTGTGACAGTGAAGGAGAAAGTTGGCTCTTTCTGAGTGCTTCAGGTTAAATTAGCTTGGTCAGTAGAAGGATGGAAAGTTAGCTTAATTTTCTCCTACTCTTTGGGTACTTTTTAGAATGTTTGGAAACTGTACAGTCTAAGTGTATCATAATGTGGTTAAAGTGTGAATTCTTCCTGACTTCTCTTTCCTGAGTGAAAATAATATTTACTTTGTTGAAAGAAACAGATCAGAATCATCTTTCTTTCTTTTCATCACTTTCTTGAGTTTGGCTACTAAATCTTGCTCCCCAATTTACCTTTTATTTTTATTTATTTAGTTTCGTGTGTTTTTTCAGACAGGGTGTCACTGTGGCACCTGGGCTGGGCTTGTGCTTGTTCTGCCCCCCCCCCTCGGCCTCCTGAGCACTGGGATAATGGTGTGCAGCCATGCCTGGCACCACTCTCGGGTTTTCGGATGGCTTTTGCCTACTTGTCTTCTGCAGCCAGTACGTAGTGAGCCTGCTGGTTTACCATTGTTTGGCCTCCCTAGCTTTTTTTCCTTTCCTTGAGTTGCTGAGCAGTAACCTATACAAGATTTTTATTTCTAATGTTACTAAGTAAGATGTTTTGCCCTTGTGTTGTTTCATGGCATGGCAGCTACTTCTGGGGTTTCAAACTCTGAGGTTCGTTTGGTTACTAATTCCTGTTCATCTCTCTCTGAGTTCTTCCTTGCCTCTGTTCTGTGGACCTTAGCCAAACCTTCCTGCTTCTTGGTTCCCTCTTCTCTTGGTCTCTGCTTATTTTCCTGTTCAGCCTGTGTCTGCTCATCAGCTATAATTTCAGTCTGCACACTTGGATAAAGTCAGCCTTTTATTTCCAGTAGTCCTAGTTTCTACCTCCAGAGATTTGCTCCTGAAAGTCCCAGCTTTGTGGGTTCAATACATATGCATGGCAGCAGATATGGTACTTGGACTCTATGACCACAATCTTTCCATCCTTCACATCCTGATCTATGGTAACAATCGTCTTTCCATTCCTGATGTTTTAAGTTGAGTGCCCAGGATTTCATTCTGGGGTCTGGGTAGCTAAGTAAATACCACTCACAGTCACAAGACTGTTTAGGGTTGCCTGCCGGTAGGCACCAGGTTAACCCATAGTAAAATGGCACCTGACACTCTCTTTGCTGTAGCATTTTGGTCCATATAACCTTTTCTTTTTCAACCTCTGAAACCACTGGTAGAGTTTCTTTAGCCTATTCACATGAACCTATTCTTTTAGGGATTGCTGCTACCTGGGTTTAAAATAATTATGTGGTATGGTAATGCCACCATTAAGCCCATGGTTTAAGGATAAAAAACGTTGAAAAAGCTAGACAGAAAATTTTTGTATTGCTATTTTGAACAATCTCAATTGGAGGGTTTTCATTTAGCATCTGGCATAAAACATGCTATCCATTTTGTTTCTAATGAATAGTTTTCTGAAATATAGCTTTCCACTGTACTTTTCCATTTCTCACACACTTCCATGTTGTTAACCTGAATTTTACAATGCCCTCTGTAATAAGAAAAAACTATGCGGAAGTTTCCCTCTTGAATCTCAAACAGCAGATTTATGGATAGTAAACATAATCATGTATCTTACTTGTTTTGGGCATGGAAATATCAAATCAAGATGTCAGAGATTGTTGTATACGATGCTTCAGATGTGGAAACTGATTTTCCTTTTAAACACAGTTGTCTTTTATATTGTCTTTAGACATCATTAAATTCTTAATTTTTAAAATGTCACTTTAATGCTGTGTAAATTTTCTTATTTTTCTAACATTGGTAGCTACTTTGAAAACATGCATGTCTACTGCAATATGTATTTCTTTTGTATTAATCATATTTTGGTATCTAGTGGAGAATCTTTCAGATATTTAGTCCAAATCCTACCATTACCATTGTCTTGTAGACCAGCATCTTGCTGCACTCTGGAAAGTTTTATTTCAAAGAGATAAAAGGCATGATGTTATGTCCCTTACCTCTTTATGTTGCTGTTTCTGAGCAATGTCTGTGTCTTTTTCCCTCTCGAGGGTGAATTCATTAAGGTCAGTACCCCCATACCAGTGGTACTGGTAACCTTACTGCCTGCTTTCTGTATCCTACGTGGTCTGTTCCATCCCTTGTCTTTGATGGCTTTTTCCTGTGTGCCTCATTCAGCGCTCCCTGTTTGTATAGAAAAGTAGTAACAAGGGTCTCTATGAGTATTATTTCCTGTCCTTCCAGTCCATCATTCCACTTCACTCCTAGGTTTTACGCAAAATTTCTTAGGAAAGTCTGTCATAAGCACTTTCTAGTTCCTACGCTTTCTTGTCTGGCTTCTGTGTTTGCTTTAGTTCTCTCCAACCTGGGGAGCTTAGTACTGTGCTTGTGACAAGTCATGATGCTTACTAGTAGCTCCTCAATGAATGAAGGCCATTCCATAAAACCAGTACATTTAAGGTCACCAGTGACCTCTTGCTACCCACACTCAGTGGCCTTTTGTTCTCAGGTTTTAGTCTGCTTAGCCAACTGAAACACTTCATCTTCCAAGACTTGCTGTCTTTTTCAGAAAGTTTCTTGGCTTATCTTTACTTTTATAATACTTATCTTTCTTTCTTTAGCTCCTGCCTCTGGCTATTTCCTCCTCTGTTTCCGTCACTGATTCTCTTCTGGCTAAGTAACTTTTCATGTAGATGCTTTTAAAAGTCCCCCACTTTCCTGTCAGTCAACCAACATGATGTCTTCCATCCTTTGCCTTTTAATTCCCAGGTCTTTGCTGGCCTTCCTCTCCCTATGAGCTCCAGACTTATCAGCATTCCTGGTATTTCTATGTGACTGTGCCTATGACATCTCAGATTCTATTGGCTTGCAAATCTCAGTACTTTCGTATCTTTAGGCATGTTCTATATTTTTTGTAATTTTGTTTGGAGGTGGACTGGGAAGTACAGAGAATCACTGGACTGGGACTTGGAAGCAGCCCTTGGCTTTACCACTCCTTTAGAAGATTTTCAAACAAACCGTTTACTTTTAATCTTGTGTCTCACACTGCCTTTAAGCAGCATCTTGTGAGTGAGCTTTTTCAGATTGGCCATGACTGGTTTCTCTTATGACCAGAGTCCTTCTTTGCAAACTCCTGAATGGAAGCTATCTGCTTTTGCTTTCTAAATCTTTTCTCAAATCTAGTCTCTTCTTAGTACTTTAAAATAATATTTACCATAACCAGTGTGTGTATCTATTCATGGTGTTAATCAGAAGCTTTACCCCTTTTTGTAGTTGTAGAAAATGAATCACAAATTGTTACTTCACAAAACTCACACTGCTAATGAGTCCAGGCAAGGAACTTGAGGCAGTTTTGCCCCTTGGTACTTGCCATTTGTGCATTTAATTTGTAAACTAGCTATGTCATAAGCCGTTTTTAATCAAAAGTTCAATTAAAACTTGGGAAGGACCAGCAAGGACAGTAAGACTTGACTAGAAATGAGTCATGAGCTAAAATAATTACATTTGGACCACAAGTTATATATTCTTCAACTGAGAGCTATCTAACTTGATGATCATTGTGGTTCTCATGGGCATCTGCTTTGTATAAACTCTAATACTGGTTTCTACTTTAGAATGGCTTCCCATGATCAATTGTACAAATTTGGTGAATGGTCTGGGATCTTTTAGAGGCACTGCTTTAATATGCTGATGATGTTCTTGTGGATAAAGAAGTGAAATCCAGTATCAGCTCAGTGCATCTCAGGAGTAGAGATTTACTATTCATGTTTATTTTAAATTAAGCCACTTACTACCAAGAACCCCATTTTTCCTTGTTGCTACTGTTTATCAGTTGGTATATGGAAATTGGAAGAATTGTAGCTCAAGAATATCTTACTGAAAAAGAAGGTCGCTAATTTTATTTCATTAATGTCTTTATTGATTGTAGTGCTTTGTAATATAAATAATGCATGCTTAAAAGTTTTTTAAAACATTCAATGTTCGTGTGTGTATGTTTGGAGGCCTACATGTGCATGGTGCAGATGTGGAGACTAGAGGACAACTCATGGAGGTCGGTTCTCTCCTTCTACCATGTGGGTTCTGGGGATCGATCTCAGGTCCTCAGGCTTGGTGGCAAGTACCTTTACCTGCTGAGCCATCCTGCAGGCCCTGTGAAATGAATATATTACTTTATACATATGCTCATATTTCATGTTTATATAGCTCTTCTTTCCTTCTTGGGTAAAATGGTAGTCAAATTTAAGTACATTACATGTTTTCTTTAGTAAGAGAAAACAATTTTGGTGAATTGATTTTGTTAAAGTTTTCTGTCTTAATAAGTGTTTGCTATCTTTTATTTTCTCAGCTTTTCTGTTAGTGGCAGCAATATCA